ATAACACCATATTACTAATTGAAACATTTTATATATATTCGCAATAATCCAGATACACCTTTAGTCAATGTAGGGTGGAGGGCACAGTATACAAATAGTCAACGCTTTACGGGGGCTCATGGAAATACCCTTTTAATCTGGGCTTACTAGGGGAGAACATGTATCAGGAGTGTGGTGGCTTGAAATTGGATGCCATTTTGTCCAGTGTGTGAGAATGCATAGAGCTCTTCAGCAGCTGATTTGCCATTTTCTGCATTTGAAGCATTTAAAAAAGACAAAATAACTTCATGCTTCCATTGACACACAAGATCAAATTAAACTATGTTATAATGCCAGAATAACACTATACAGCCACAAAAGAAAACTTGGTTTGTCTCATAACTGAACGGATTTGCCCCACGTCGACAGAATGTTGTGTTGCAGGGGTCTGGAGCAGAACTAAGCAAATGGAAATGCTTCGAAGGCTACCATCAAGCTCAGAATTCTCATGCAGAATCGCAGAGTTGGGTGGCTCCTGAGCAATCTACAATGAAATCCAGATACTCCAAGCGGAGTATTGCATACTTTTGAATTATGTTGATTGGTTTTGATTAAATGAAACTATACCTATTATATATATTTATGACTTTGTTATTAAATTCCTTATGTTTCTATACACTTTTCTGACACATGCCATCAGAATAACACCATATTACCAAAGGAAACATTTGGCCTAAGACAAAATAACACCATATTACTAATTGAAACATTTTAAATAGATTCGCAATTGAAGGATTGTGAATGAAAGCCCCCGCTTTGTTTAATAGTCCAGATACACCGTTAGGCAATGTAGGGTGGAGGGGACAGTATAGAAATAGTCAAAACTTTTTGGGGGCTCATGCAAATACCCCCTTAATCTGGGCTTACTAGGGGAGAACATGTATCAGGAGTGTAATGGCTTGAAATTGGATGCCATCTTGTAGAGTGTGTGAGAATGCATAGAGCACTTCAGCAGGGGTCACGACTGGGTTGAAGAAATGAGGGGCAGAAGGGACATGATTCAGGCAGCTTCCCAATGCCAGGATAGTCCCATCCGGTGCCATCATGTTCAACAATCTAAACCACCAAAAAAAATACCTTGGGCTGCTCGCCAGAATCATTCTTTTTCGTTGCCGTAAACACACAAAAACAGAAAAGAAATTGGAGTCACATTATTATTGGTGGCTGTGGCAATCTGCTGCTACCAATATGACATGAAGGTGGCACTAAATTGTGGCACCCCATTCTTAGTTTGTAGTTCAGCAGACCTCATTATCAATGCAATAGCAAAAATGAAAATTCACTTTTGACCATGAAATTGAAGAGGCTGGCAGAGGTTAGTAGAGGGGTGCACACTCACCATCCTGGATGTGCAATATTTAGCATAAAGAACTAAATACAAAAATAATTTGCATAATTAAAAGGAGAACTATGGGGTTAAGTCTTTTCCCCATAGTTCTCCTTAGGGTAACGGGAGAACACAAACATGCGTCCTCCCGTCACCCTAGGCTCAGTATACCGCGAGCTGTAGCTCGCGGTATACTGAGACGCAGCAGTATACCACGAGCAGCTGCTCGCGGTATACTGAGACGCCACGCGGCAGCGGAAGCGTATCCGGACAATTGTGCCGGGATCCGCCCAGCTGCGTGACTGACAGCTGGCTCTGCCTATCTAAAGGCAGAGCCAGCTGTAGCCGCCCCCTCCCCAGTCCGTTCCGCCAGTCAGCGCTGGCGGATCGGAGCCGGGAGGGGGGAATCCAGTCCCTCCCCTGTCACGGCAGAGAGGCGGTATGTGTTCGCTCACCTCCCGATCTACTGAGCTGACCTGTGACAGTCTCATTGTCACAGGTCGGCTAGAACTATGAGGTGAGTGAAAAGCACTCGCCTCATAGTTCTCCTTTAACACTCAAAAATCCAATTCTACTAATGCATCCTTCTATGTATGATGATTAATAATAACATAAGACATGTCAGGTGTAAAATGCTGTGATTTTGAAATACTTACACTTCCAGAGCATTCACTTCCTGCTTTGAAAGGGTAAAATGACTTCACTTTGCCCAAGCATTGCATCCTGGGAAGGTTACATCAGCAGTGCATTGCTGGGAAATCTCATCTCAGGGAAAGGCATTTTCCTCCCCTGAGATGATGTGCATGGTCACATGTCCTAGTCACATGTAGTAATCTGCCCTTAGTAAACATGGCCACGGCCAGAAGAATGGGGAAGAAAAGAGATATGCAAAGAATACAGAGCTGGCAATTATCTAGAAGTATCTGTTTGCGGACTTTCCTTACTAAACATTTCTTAAGGTGTGTGTTGTTATGTTAAAGACATGGGGAAAGGTCCGCTTTAACATTTCTACATGTTTCCTGTAACATACAATTAAAATTTCTTGGTGTTTCCTATAACACAGTAAATCTTGACTTCTTCATTTCAGTTTCAATTTAAGCAGGTGAAATTGAAATTTGGAATTCAATGGATTGCGGAGACCAAACCAGCTAAAAGAACTGAGTATACCGGACAGGGACTTAACCTTCTGAGTTTTGAAAGCATAAAAAAATCATTGCTAAAATACAAAGGCTCCTGATGCCTATAAATATACTTTTCCTGCATCTTGGTCTTTCTAAATTAGAATTGTGAAGGGTATACCACCGCATTCCTGACCAATACGTCCTTTATAATTTCTTGCGGGTGCTGTAGTAGCTAACGGATGGTGCCGCATAGGCACAAGAAGAAAATGAGTTGCCATCACAATGTCATGTTTTCTTAACAAAAAGACTGTATTGATGTTAGTTGATCATAGTTATCACAAGACGTTTATATAACGGCGTTTTGAGACCACATTCCTTCATCATTCCGTGTTGAGAAGACTCACAGGGCTATTCACAAAAGGGTGAAGAGTTTGGAGAAGTAAACAATCTAGGATAACATAGCTGATTGGGAAAAATTCTCCAATTCAGCTCACTTTCAGTTCAGCTATGTTGGCCTGGATTGTTCACTTCTCCTGCCTTCTCCAAACTCTTCACCCTTCTGTGAATAACCCTGTCATTCTTCCGTGTGATGAAGATTCATCTGTCTGATGAAAAGACCCTGCATGGTCTAGAACCTTGGTTCTCAACTGGTGGGTCGTGACCCAAAAGTGGGTCGCGACCTCATGTTCAGTGGGTCACCGCATGCCTTCCACTTTTCTAGGTGAGAGGCTCCTCAGCTTCCCACTGGTGCAGCATTGTCTGTTCTCACACCAAGCAGCCATTCAAAATATGCTGCTCAGTGCCGGGTGTTAGCTTAAAGTGGGCTGGGGGTATGGCTGCGAGAGAGCTCCATTCATACGTACATTGCTTACAGCTCCCTCACGTGTCCTGTAGAGGTTCCTGGACCTGAGTGACATCACATTCTGGCTCCCGACACCTCTACAGGGCGTGCAAGGGAGCTGTACCAGCAATGCACATATGGGGGGAGCTCCATCACAGCACATCAGTCCACACTGGACCTCAGGCTGAGGATCCACACCGGTTCTTGTAAGGTAGGGAGACCAGGTGGATCTTAAAAAAAGAAAAAAATGAAAAAATTTTTGGATTGTGTGTCTGGTTGTGTACAGGTATGTATGGCAGTGTTTTTGAGGGCCCGTTCACACTGGTACAGTGCGCTAATCGCATAGTCCCGTACGATTAACGCACCTCACTACGCAATTGCACCTACAGCGCATTCTGGCGCTGGAGGTGCGTTGCATTGCTATTCATTTGACTGGCACCCCAAAACGCACTATAAAGGTATAAAGACATGACGGTACCCTGGTAACTCCTTGTGTACTTGTATTTCCTAAAGTCACACACTAAGATAACAACAAAACTGGAAAGTTCCGTTTTATAGCAAATCAGAACTTTATCCAAGGTGTGAATCTTGAGTTCCTTTCCCCATGAGGTCTGTCCTGCTCTGAGACCTCATTAAGTAGATCTTCCAGCACCAATGCAAGGCACATTGTCAGTGTTTTGTCTGTCACCAGCCAAAATGATCCAACCATTAATTCCTACGGGTCTCTATAAGTATGAGTGCTCATGAGGTTCTGCAGAAAGCGATCCCTCACCCAAACCGTACATTAGTCCATCAGACCGCTTTCCTGCAGGTTAGGAAGCACTGGGGACCTGTTCTGAAAGAAATTAGTAGTCTTAGGCTGCTGACCTTCCCATCTGAAAATGCTAGTTGCTGGGCTATCTTATGGATCTTCTAGGAGTTCAGTACTTCCAGACTCAGAACACGTATGGAGTGTCTGACCTAACTTACAGCATGTTTCTTTTGGGCCAGCAGCAAAAAGGAAATAAGCAATGATAGCCTACACAATTTGTTCAGTACAGATTGCTCTAAATCAGGGCTAGGCAAACTACGGTGTTCTATCAAAGTTTGTGACTACGCTGGAATGTGTGACCGGTCACGTGGTCACACATTTTAACGTAATCCCGCCCAGTTTTTTGACGGTGGAATGTGTGACCACCCATTAGGTCAAACATTCCAGCGCTTTCTCACCTGTTTCAGGGCAGATCGGCATCGCAGGTCGTATGTACAGGAGAACCGATCTGCCCTGGAACAGTGGATCGGTCCTGAATTGAAGTGACAAAATGTGTGACCACGTCACCGATCACACATTCTAATGTAGTCACAAACTTTGATAGAACACCGGCCCTCCAGGTCTGGTGGAACTACAAATCCCATGATGCATCTATTTCTCAGAGTCATGCCTGTGGCTGTGAGACTCTTGCAATGCCTCATGAGATTTGTAGTTCCACCACAGGTGGAGGGCCCAGTGAAAAAAGTGTTTTCTAAGACGACCGTTGTTTACAGTTTCAGCTCAATCATCCCAGCCGTACTGATTAATAAACACTAGATGGCGATGGAAAGACGCGATCGCCTATCGTGTTGCTATGGAGACATCTAGTGACCACTATAATGTAATGGAACGCGCGGAACAGATGAGTGAAATCTCGCGAGATCTGGAGCGGGAAGTAGCCTGTAGCGCCGCCGTGTGTAGGCCCGGATTGGAGCCGGCTGCTGGCTTTTACTCTACTGCCGGTACCTTCCCGCAGCACACGTGTTAGCGGTGGGCTGCAGCCGGCAAGATGAGCAGCCGGGTGTGTAAGAACTGTGGCTGTACGGACATAGATGTAGACGCGGCCAGGGGAGATGCGGTGTGTACGGGCTGCGGGTCGGTGCTGGAGGATAACATTATCGTGTCTGAGGTGCAGTTCGTGGAGAGCGCAGGAGGAGGCTCCTCAGCGGTGGGACAGTTCGTGTCTTCAGAGTGTGAGTGACCGGAGCCGGGGAGAATGCTTCCCTTCTATGTATTGTCAAGGCTGGTACCTCACAGTGACAGGGACTGGTGACAGGAGAGGGTGTCCAAGGTGCAGGGACTGGTGACAGGAGAGGGTGTCCAAGGTGCAGGGACTGGTGACAGGAGAGGGTGTCCAAGGTGCAGGGACTGGTGACAGGAGAGGGTGTCCAAGGTGCAGTACTGGTGACAGGAGAGGGTGCCCAGAGTGCAGGGACTGGTGACAGGAGAGGGTGCCCAGAGTGCAGGGACTGGTGACAGGAGAGGGTGCCCAGAGTGCGGTGACAGGTGACAGGAGAGGGTGCCCAGAGTGCGGGGACTGGTGACAGGAGAGGGTGTCTAGAGTGCAAGGACTGGTGACAGGAGAGGGTTCCAAGGTGCGGGGACTCGTGACAGGAGAGGGTGTCCAAGGTGCGGGGACTCGTGACAGGAGAGGGTGTCCAAGGTGCGGGGACTGGTGACAGGAGAGAGGGTGCCCAGTGGTGCTGGAACTGGTGACAGGAGAGGGTGCTCGGGGGTCCAGCAACTGGTGACAGGAGAGGGTGCCCGGTGGTCCAGCAACTGGTGACAGGAGAGGGTGCCCGGGGGATCGGGGACTGGTGACAGGATAGGGTGCCCGGTGGTGCCGGAACTGGTGACAGGAGAGGGTGCCCGGTGGTGCCGGAACTGGTGACAGGACAGGGTGCCTGTGGTGCTGGAACTAGTGACAGGATAGGGTGCCCGGGGGTCCAGCAACTGGTGACAGGACAAGGTGCCCAGGGGACTGGTGACAGGATAGGGGGAGCGGGGGAGCGGGGACTGCTGACAGTAGAGAGTGTCTGGGTGTGCAGGAACTGGTGACAGGAGAGGGTGCCCGGGGGAGCGGAGACTGGTGACAGGATAGGGTGCCCGGGGGAGCGGGGACTGGAATCAGTAGAGAGTGTCTGGGTGTGCAGGAACTGGTGACAGGAGAGGGTGCCCGGGGGAGCGGAGACTGGTGACAGGATAGGGTGCCCGGGGGAGCGGGGACTGGAATCAGTAGAGAGTGTCTGGGTGTGCAGGAACTGGTGACAGGAGAGGGTGCCCGGGGGAGCGGAGACTGGTGACAGGATAGGGTGCCCGGGGGAGCGGGGACTGGAATCAGTAGAGAGTGTCTGGGTGTGCAGGAACTGGTGACAGGAGAGGGTGCCCGGGGGAGCGGAGACTGGTGACAGGATAGGGTGCCCGGGGGAGCGGGGACTGGAATCAGTAGAGAGTGTCTGGGTGTGCAGGAACTGGTGACAGGAGAGGGTGCCCGGGGGAGCGGAGACTGGTGACAGGATAGGGTGCCCGGGGGAGCGGGGACTGGAATCAGTAGAGAGTGTCTGGGTGTGCAGGAACTGGTGACAGGAGAGGGTGCCCGGGGGAGCGGAGACTGGTGACAGGATAGGGTGCCCGGGGGAGCGGGGACTGGAATCAGTAGAGAGTGTCTGGGTGTGCAGGAACTGGTGACAGGAGAGGGTGCCCGGGGGAGCGGAGACTGGTGACAGGATAGGGTGCCCGGGGGAGCGGGGACTGGAATCAGTAGAGAGTGTCTGGGTGTGCAGGAACTGGTGACAGGAGAGGGTGCCCGGGGGAGCGGAGACTGGTGACAGGATAGGGTGCCCGGGGGAGCGGGGACTGGAATCAGTAGAGAGTGTCTGGGTGTGCAGGAACTGGTGACAGGAGAGGGTGCCCGGGGGAGCGGAGACTGGTGACAGGATAGGGTGCCCGGGGGAGCGGGGACTGGAATCAGTAGAGAGTGTCTGGGTGTGCAGGAACTGGTGACAGGAGAGGGTGCCCGGGGGAGCGGAGACTGGTGACAGGATAGGGTGCCCGGGGGAGCGGGGACTGGAATCAGTAGAGAGTGTCTGGGTGTGCAGGAACTGGTGACAGGAGAGGGTGCCCGGGGGAGCGGAGACTGGTGACAGGATAGGGTGCCCGGGGGAGCGGGGACTGGAATCAGTAGAGAGTGTCTGGGTGTGCAGGAACTGGTGACAGGAGAGGGTGCCCGGGGGAGCGGAGACTGGTGACAGGATAGGGTGCCCGGGGGAGCGGGGACTGGAATCAGTAGAGAGTGTCTGGGTGTGCAGGAACTGGTGACAGGAGAGGGTGCCCGGGGGAGCGGAGACTGGTGACAGGATAGGGTGCCCGGGGGAGCGGGGACTGGAATCAGTAGAGAGTGTCTGGGTGTGCAGGAACTGGTGACAGGAGAGGGTGCCCGGGGGAGCGGAGACTGGTGACAGGATAGGGTGCCCGGGGGAGCGGGGACTGGAATCAGTAGAGAGTGTCTGGGTGTGCAGGAACTGGTGACAGGAGAGGGTGCCCGGGGGAGCGGAGACTGGTGACAGGATAGGGTGCCCGGGGGAGCGGGGACTGGAATCAGTAGAGAGTGTCTGGGTGTGCAGGAACTGGTGACAGGAGAGGGTGCCCGGGGGAGCGGAGACTGGTGACAGGATAGGGTGCCCGGGGGAGCGGGGACTGGAATCAGTAGAGAGTGTCTGGGTGTGCAGGAACTGGTGATAGGATAGGGGGAGCGGGGACTGGTGACAGGAGAGGGTGCCCGGGGGAGCGGAGACTGGTGACAGGATAGGGTGCCCGGGGGAGCGGGGACTGGTGACAGGAGAGGGGGTGCCCAGAGTGCGGGGACTGGTGACAGGAGAGGGGGTGCCCAGAGTGCGGGGACTGGTGACAGGAGAGGGGGTGCCCAGAGTGCGGGGACTGGTGACAGGAGAGGGGGTGCCCAGAGTGCGGGGACTGGTGACAGGAGAGGGGGTGCCCAGAGTGCGGGGACTGGTGACAGGAGAGGGGGTGCCCAGAGTGCGGGGACTGGTGACAGGAGAGGGGGTGCCCAGAGTGCGGGGACTGGTGACAGGAGAGGGGGTGCCCAGAGTGCGGGGACTGGTGACAGGAGAGGGGGTGCCCAGAGTGCGGGGACTGGTGACAGGAGAGGGGGTGCCCAGAGTGCGGGGACTGGTGACAGGAGAGGGGGTGCCCAGAGTGCGGGGACTGGTGACAGGAGAGGGGGTGCCCAGAGTGCGGGGACTGGTGACAGGAGAGGGGGTGCCCAGAGTGCGGGGACTGGTGACAGGAGAGGGGGTGCCCAGAGTGCGGGGACTGGTGACAGGAGAGGGGGTGCCCAGAGTGCGGGGACTGGTGACAGGAGAGGGGGTGCCCAGAGTGCGGGGACTGGTGACAGGAGAGGGGGTGCCCAGAGTGCGGGGACTGGTGACAGGAGAGGGGGTGCCCAGAGTGCGGGGACTGGTGACAGGAGAGGGGGTGCCCAGAGTGCGGGGACTGGTGACAGGAGAGGGGGTGCCCAGAGTGCGGGGACTGGTGACAGGAGAGGGGGTGCCCAGAGTGCGGGGACTGGTGACAGGAGAGGGGGTGCCCAGAGTGCGGGGACTGGTGACAGGAGAGGGGGTGCCCAGAGTGCGGGGACTGGTGACAGGAGAGGGGGTGCCCAGAGTGCGGGGACTGGTGACAGGAGAGGGGGTGCCCAGAGTGCGGGGACTGGTGACAGGAGAGGGGGTGCCCAGAGTGCGGGGACTGGTGACAGGAGAGGGGGTGCCCAGAGTGCGGGGACTGGTGACAGGAGAGGGGGTGCCCAGAGTGCGGGGACTGGTGACAGGAGAGGGGGTGCCCAGAGTGCGGGGACTGGTGACAGGAGAGGGGGTGCCCAGAGTGCGGGGACTGGTGACAGGAGAGGGTGCCCGGGGGAGCGGGGACTGGTGACAGGAGAGGGCCCTATGATGACCATTTGATGTGACGCTCTGTAGCTCTGTCACCTTCTTGATGTTGTTCCCTCTGGAGACTTTTCTTCCAGAATATTCCTCATCTCTCATATAACATTCTATGACACTTTCTGCTTCTTTTCCTAAATGTCTTTGTGGCAGAAAATGTTTAAAATCAATACGTCACACGAGCGGATACATTTCTATGACTTCTCTGTGTGCTTAAAGTGGAACTCTGACCATTATTTGTGTTGGGTCAGAACCTCTTTCAGATTTTTCTTCCTTTCTGTTGCCCCATAACAGAGATCTCCCCTCACATCATCTCCTGGTGACAACATTGTCAGGAGCTACAAAGGAATCTATCTAACAGGGACAACGTTCCAATAGATTCACTTTATTATATTAGTAAAGCAGGGGTAAGGTTTGGCTCCTCCCACATGTGACATTTATATTTTGGTTTGTGTTCCCATTTGGGAGATTTCCTCCCATATTCTGTCAAGGTTGACAGTGTTGTCACTGGGACAGAAGGTCAGGGGATATCTACCTAATGGGATGCATACAACATTAAAACCTGCCAGAGGTTCCATCCCATTCTAAAATAAATAAATATACTGTCTGGTTTTGGGACACCCCTGGCTCTGGCCACATGCTGATACCAAGGTTGGCAAATGTCTGCCCTGGCATTGGATCTTTGGGGCAGACTTGGAAAATGGTGCCGGTACTTCTTTTGATGCAACATTTTTAGCTCCATAGACTTAAATGGGAGCGCACGAAAACACAGGCAAGATGCATTGTTGTGTGTTTTAGCACATAACAACAAGCCACCACCCCCTAGCAACGTGTACTTTGTGTCACCTTCACCGCAATAATGGTGCAGTCTGGGTGATCTCCCTGGATGTTGTGTGCATGTCTCTGTCTTTTCCAGTCATTGATTTGGAGGTCGCGCATGGCAAGGGAAGTTAGACAATCTAATCTGCAGCATTTGCAGGAAACCGCAGGATCAGCATGACGGCTAAGCAGTTGGCTTTTTCCAGAGGCCAGCATTGACAGCCTGTTTATTTCCGTACAGGTTTCCTTTAAACGCCTTCCGGCCGGCCGTTGTTGCAAATGACGGCCAGCCGGGAGGTTCCTGGATCTGACCGGCAGTCCAAAGGCGGCCTCTTGGCCCCGCCCACTTGCACGCACGAGCGGGAAACTGCCCGAATTTAAAAACAGGCAGCGATGCCTGTTTACATACAAGTGAT